GGAGCCTAAGCCTCCTATATTATGCATAACTGAGCATATGGAATCTTAGATCATTTTTTGCCTTCTGTCTCTGAAAATTTTCAGAAGAAAGAAAGCTGATCATATTTCATTATTCTGTGTATGTAGCAGGTCTGTTTTCTTGGCCAGGAATCTGAAAATGTTTTCTAAGAGGACTTAACTAGCAGCTGTGTTGACAATTTTATTTTTGAGTGCAACTTCTAGAGAAAGATGAGTTTTTCACACCTGTGCCTCTGGAGCTCACTTTTTGGAAACAACTGGGCTTTGCATTAATTTTGCAGCAAATGCCATTCAGTACAAAGAAAAAACCTAAAGTTTCACCTTCTAGCACAGACTGCTAAGTAAGAGCAGTCTGTGCTACGTGGAGAAAGTTTTTCTATGAAGGCTCTGGAAAGAACACGAAAAATCAGTTAAGAGGCACCTTTTGATGCTGCAATGTATGCCTTCATTGAACTGCTCTTTGGAAAGTTTTATTGGGACATAAAACCTCAGTTTCAATCAAGTTGTTACCTCATTACTATGCAGCTAACCATTTCTGGACTTTTAAAGAACAACATCCACCTGGAGCAGACATTGTAGACCTAAAAAAGAACAAGTGCCTTCATACCTCTCTTCATGGTTTTGCAGTAAAATGAGCATGTTCGGATTTCCCTTTTGGTGTGCAAAGCCTAGAGTGTGAGTGACTTGGTCCTCTATCAAGGATGTGTTCTGTACCCTAAATACTTTGGCAACCTGTGTGTGGATGAACCTTCCCTTTAAAGTAAGGTAAGATCCTAAAAGCTCTTCCACCCCCAGAGCAGCTGCAGTGGTGCAGGGCTGGTGTGGGCTGTCGTCTGCCTGCAGAAATAGCTGGAATATCAGAGCCACTTCCCCAGCAGAAATTCTATCAGACATCTGAGAATCTTACTGATTATTTCCTCAACCAGTGAAACATTCATGCTAGAAATCCATTATGTGAAAGCTGCAAATCTAGTGAGTGCATAGGTTTAATGGAGAGTCGAGAAGTCAGCTTCTCTTTTTTGTGATGCTGAGTTATGGAGCGTTTTGACATTTGCCAAAGCTTTATTGTCAAGTCAGGTGAAAGATGCTTTTGTCTATGCAGTCCCCTTAATACCCATGACAACAAGGAGAGTTTTTTGATAACACCTGAAAATAAATCAAAGTAACATCATTTATCCTGTTTCTAAAGGGAAATAACTCAAAAACATGAAAAAAGGAGCAAAAATTCCTTGTACAATCTCAATCTCATACCTATGTACTACACACTAAAATATTTAATATCTATAAGCATGTTTATCCTTGAATTGTTCAGAGCTCAAGATGATGGCTGGTTTACAAATGATGCAGCAATTCAATACTTATTTCTTTCCTTATTGTTTAGAGATTCCATAAGTCCTTTACTGCATGCCATGAAACTTTCTCAGCCACGTGATGTGTAGTATTCCAGTGGATGAAGGAAATAATGTTGGCTGCTGTTCCACTTTCAACTGATGTTTTTATTATGATTGGGTGTGAATGATTCATTTTAATTCATTTTTTATATGAGTGTTTGGAAACAAAGGTTAAAAATCATGTCTTCTATATTTTTTGCAGATCTTTAGGATAAACTTAGCAAAAAAACCAATTGGTAGAACTTGAAATGAATGAACACCTATTTGGAATAACTTGAGGGAAAAAAAAGGCCACTTGTGGTAAACATGGCCAGCAGATGCATTGCAAAGTCCTCATTCTAAGCAATCATCTATGTTACCACATTGAATGTGTTTGATGAAGGGGGCTCTCCAAGAGGGTAAAAGATTGATTTTCATCTGACTGCCAAGTATGAAAACTATTAAAAATTTATTTTTAAGTGCTATTTTATCTTTCCAGAGAAATACAAAAGACACAGAAACTTTCCCTGGTGATCAAAATATTCCATACAACTAAAATATAAGGTGTATTTTCATACTTATGCAAATGAATTGAGTTGTTGAAAAGTGTTCCTACCCAAAATTAATGTAGGAAAAGCCAGCATTTTACACAACAATTCAGCAGTCTAAGCTCCCTCACCGATGCACACCAACTCAAGTCCATTTCTGCCAGAGAATGCTTTAAGTTGGCAGACACTAATCACCATGTCCAGAAGAAGGAAGGAAACTTTAAAACAAAGTTAGAGATCTTGTCATGAGTTGTGAAACACACCAGTTTTATGGTTTTATTTATATGATTCAGCTGGAAAAGGATGAGTATGGTGTGGCCACCTCAAACAGTACTCTCCTTTCAGGACTCCTGTGAGTCCTGAAATAGGAGAGCTTTTAGCTCATGCCTATGATCTGCCTGGCAGAAGGTGTTGTGTTTCTAAGTGATTGCTAAAGCCACTGACTTAGAGTGCATTCCGACCTGGGCTTTCTTTGGAGCTCTTCCACTTGGTAGAAAATTAATTACAAGTATACTGAGAACACACTATGATTCTCCCATGTGATGAGTAGGGGATTTGTTGAAGCCAAAGAAATACCTGTGTTTAAACATGAGCTCCTGGGAGAGTCAGGCATTCCTTCCACATTCGGGACTACAGCACAACTGGCTGTCTAGGCCACTTGCATCTGAGGCAGGATTCAAAGGTGGAACTGAGCTTGACCTTCCCATAACAAGTTTCCCATGTTATATAAAGGTTATATCATGCTGTCATTGCCTTATGTAAAAATCTAATTATACTAACAATGGTATGAATTCAACCAGTATTTGCAAAAAATGCAGGAATGAACATGCTCCATTTTTTTTCTGGCAGTTTTATATTTTTCTTACAAAACAATTACCTAGAGGCACCTCTAAATTAATCACAGGATCTCTTTTGCTCTTTTACGATGATTTGTGCACTTCAAAACAGTTTGCTGATTTTCTTATTTGCATATTTGAATCTGTGTCAATTGACTTTCCTGTGGGTTGGAGAAATTCTGAAGATTGGATTGTGGGGGAGTGTGTCATGCTCAATATGTGGTAAAATAATGCTTGGCTTTGACCACAGCGTAGAAGACAGTTGGAGCAATCCAGAAGAAATGAGGTAAATTTAACATTTATAACACCCTTCTGATCCTGTCTTGGGGTGAACTGAGTGCATCTTCCGTGTATCTTGCACACCTGAGATCTTATATACAGATCTGTCAAAACTTTTCTGCACAGTAAATACACAAACCGTGTCTAACTTGTCACTGATACGGGGCACTAACATGTACTAACAGCTTGTTATTTGTAGTGGGCTGGTTAAGACACTGAGCTCTCTATTTGTAGGTTGTTATAGAGGGGTTCACTTGCATCCAGTGCTCTGGCGGAAGTGATAGCACTTGACACTGTTACAACATACACAAATACTTCTTACCCGCTGTATGCACAAGCCGTGTCAGAGCAGCATCATTCTGTTGGGGAATGGGAGGGAAAAGGAGAGGGAAGAAGAAGAATGACAGTGTGGGAGAGGTAAAGCAGGAAGGGAGGCTGGAGGAACACAGACCTCCAGGTGTGACCCAGAACTAATACTGCAGCTAATGTGACACCACAGCAGTACTGGCACCCAAAAATTTCTATCTAAATGTGAAAGTATCTTGAATTATGATATGTCATGATACTGCTCTGTGGCTTCTCACTGATAAGTCAGTCTGCAAGATCATGGTCTTTTATTTCTTCTGTTGGGCCTTCTTCACTTCATCCTGTACCTGACATATCTCCATCTATACTTTGGACAAGTTATCACACTTCTCTACAGTACTCATTAAAAAGCACTGCAATATCTTTTAAAACTGTAAGTTTGGATTTTGCTACCAAATACGTTACAGATTATTTTTCTCTCTCCCTAACCCAAGGCCAATTAACCTTGCAGGAATTTTCTTCACTTCCCCCATTCAGTTTTTTGCAGATGCTCATTTACAGAAAGGAAATTTATGGTTTTGTTCCCCTGTTCACCTCTCCTAGGTTGGCAGGAATTATTCAGGTCAAGGACTATCTTTCTTGTTTTCTCATTCTTTGCGTGATGCACAGAAACACCTTTCCTTTTCTCTTTCCTTTAGACGATGGACTAATCCTCATTCTAGCTTGTCAGCTCAGCTGTTTATGTGTGCAACAAATAATAATGGGGAAAAAGTATTTAAGGGGGCCAGTCTAACCCTGGTACTACAGAGAGCAATACTGCTGAGGAGTAGTACCTTTTTGATGTCTCGCTAGCAGACAATTTGTAATTTTGGGTCCAGGAGCAGCTGGATTCGTGGTGAGGAGGAAGTTTTCGGGGCTGAGGGCGCTTTCCCTTCCTTCTGCCAGCAAACAGCGATCCACGCCAGGATTTGCTTTCTGCTCCTGTATTCAGTATTTCGGCGATGCAATGTGTAGCACGTTTCTGTGTGTGTGTGTGTGTGTGTGTGTGTATGTATGTGACTCTGTGTGTGTGTGTGTGTGTGTGTGTGTGTGTGTGCATGTGCGGCTCTCCCTCGCTGCGTCTTGTCTCCAGGATTTCTCCCTGCCTGGCTCCGGAGGCTGCTCCAGCGCTGCGCGGAGCAGAGGTTTCCCCGGCTCCCGTAAATACAGGCACACGCATCCAGTGCACCACACGCACGCACACCACACACACACACAGAGGCACACAGGCACGCTCCGAGCCGCTGTCCAGTCCATCCCCACGCCGGCTGCTTTCCCACCGTCTCCATCCAGCCTGGCAGAGGCGGCAGGCACAGCTCCGCGGCGGATCGCGCTGACGCTGCCCCGGGACTCCGCTCGCAGCAACGCGCCCGCGGTTTCAATCTTCACAAGCTACAGAGAGATTTTGCCTTGTTTTTTCCTTCACCTTTTCTCTTTTTTCTTTTGGTTGTGGGGTATCTGCTTGTGATTTTGGTTTGGGGTTGCCCCCCCCCCCTTTTTTTTAATTTTATTTTTTTTTTCTTTTGGCGTGGGGCGAGCGCTCTGCGCTCGGAGAAGGAGCCGGAGGGACAAGGCTACCGCTCTCCTGCCCCCGCCGTGCGCGCATGTGTGTGTGTGCGCGCCCATCTCCCCCCCGCCTCGCAAAAGTTTGCCTGGGCGGCCGGGGGGCTCCCGGGCCGCCGCCCCCGCAGCCGGGGGGCGCGGCGGAGGCGCGGCGGAGCGGCGGAGGCGGTGGCGGGGCCGCTGCTGCCGGTGCCGCCGCCGCCGCCGCTCCTGCTGCTGCTGCTGGTGGTGCTGCCGGTGCTGCCGGCCGCGGGGACCGAGGGCAAGGCGCGGAGCTGCGGCGAGGTGCGGCAGGCGTACAGCGCCAAGGGCTTCAGCCTGGCCAGCGTGCCCTACCAGGAGATCGCAGGTAAGGACGGGGCCGGGCGCGGCGGGGAGCGGGCAGCGGCCGCGGAGCGGGGCCGGCGCTGCTGCCGCCGCCGGGCTGCGCGCACGCCCCACCGGAGCGCGGCCGGGGACCGCGGCGGTGTGTGCGCGGAGCGGCTCTGCCGGCCCGGGTGGCACCCGGGGGCTTCCCGGAGGAGCGTGTGTGTGCGTGTAGATAAAGATTAAATAAATACAGAAACTAAAGGGGTGGGGGGGTTAAAAAAAAAAAAAAAAAAAAAAGGATGAGATTGACGGGGATGCAGGCTGGCTCAGCCGCGTTTCTGTTCGCTGGCTGAAACTTCTTGAGAGTTGCAGCCGGGCGGCGAGAGGCAGCGGGCAGGTCCGCAGTGGCGGCTGTCCCCTCTGCCGCCCTGTGCGGGGGAGAAAACTTTGCCCTCTGCCCGCGGGCACAGGGCATGAAGGAGGCGGCGGAGGAGGAGGAGAAGGGCGAGGAGGGCAGCCCTGCTCCCCTCCGCGCCCCTCCGCGGACCCAGGCCGGGCGGGTCGCCCCTTGGAGGCGCCGGCGGGCGCCTCCGCCGCAGCACGGATCGAGCAGAGGCACCGGCTGCCGGGGAGAGGCACCCACACGTATCCACACACTCCCGCCCGGCAGCCCCGGCAGCCTGTTACTTGGCTCTTCCGTCTGTTGAAACATGCCTACAACAGGTTATATCGCAATCCGCCTACGAAGGTGTTGGGAACAGTTTTTTTGTTGTAATTCTTTTTCCCTACTTTTCCATACAACATTATCAGTATTGCATCTTGAACACTGAATGAATAAAAATATGTTTGGGGCTGAAATTCTTTTAGAATTTTTTAGATCAGAGAGCACTACAAAAAGAGAGCTATTATACGTGAAGATATGAGCCGGGGCTGCTTAAATCGGACTGCTTGAGCCCTCAAAAAAGGTTTATGCTTCGCCACTGGCACTTTGCTGTTAGGTCTTGCTATTTGTAGAGTGAATTAGATGCTCCTCGGTTTGCTCGCTTCCTCTTGAAAGTTGGAAGCAGTAGATTTATCTTCCTTGAGGTGAAATAATGCCACAGTTATTCACTGTGTAACATTTAGCACTTTACATGAGGAATGATGAATGTAGAAAATCTCAGGACAGCGAGGCTGTAGTTCACAAAGATACAAGGAAGGTTGTTCCATGTTGCACCTTCATCCCTCAGGCTTACTGATTCTCTGGTCTTTCTGTCCTTTTTCCTGTAATTTATATTCAGGTTGCTCATCAGTTATATGAAATCATGAAATCTCTCCTGTGAGCCACAGATCCTTTGAATATGCAGTCATGCTTTCTCTTTGCTCACTGTTACACCAGCTGCTATCAGACAGAATGGTAGGATACCCTCTGTTACATTAAAAAAAGAAATTCTAGTAAATTTCAGGCTTCTAATAACTCTGGATAAACACTTGTTGCTTTCAGCTCACTGAGAAGTTTTATTGTTTCATACATTTTCTGAATGTACAGTGCAAAGTTGACATGCAACTTTTAAGTAAGCCTAGCATTTACAAGTTTCTGTTGACATGTATCAGTACAGAAAGACTCAGAGTAATTAAATATTTAATAGTAGTTCAATCCAAAATTACTCCACAGTTTCCTGTTAAGTTTCATAAGTAAATCTGCTTTTATGATTAAGTGCATGATTTATGGGGGTGTGAGTTATTTTTTCTGAGCTTCCTGTTGAAGGAGTTTGTTTTTTTTGTGGTTTATCTTTCTTTTTTCTAGTTGGTATATCAACTTTTGAGCACTTCTGTTCGTAGCTGTTTAAGTGAGTTGTTGTAAGACTAGGATTGCTTTAAAGTGTGTTTCTAAGTGCGTTGTTCTTGTGCAGCGCTGCAAGGTGGGGTAATAGCTGTTCATGCAGCATGGGCTCTTGTTAATGTTAAAGCACTGTATGTGCTCCCTGGTGCGATGTTGGAAATGTAGTTAAAGCAATCAATGGACAGGCTTGAGAAGCTTTTTTCTTCTTCTTTTTTATTTTTTTTTTTCATTCTGTCTTTTTTCCATCATTCTGGCTCAGTTAAGGAAGCAATTTGTTAGTGTTACAGAAGTGTAGTCTAAGGCCTTATGTTTTAAGGAGTTTAAAGAACTTCATTACAGTCTTATTTCTGAAAAAACATTGTGTTTTCAAAAAATTTTGCATCAATGTCTTAATAATATGACAATAAATAGTAATACACTGTATGGTTTATGTGTTTTGATTTATCAGTAGTCATGTTTTTTGTTGTAGTTTGTTTAAAAGCTATTTTCTATCTACGACTGTTGAAAGGGTAAACTGAAGACTGTGTACTGTGGCAAAGTGTGTACATACTGATGTAAAGAGCTGTGAAGAATCTGTTTAAATTATAGAGGCTGTGGACATAGAGGGATCTCTGTTGAATGGAACTGCAGTGCAAGAGAGTTGTTAGATAACTTCTGTAACGTTATTTATACTGTCACTCACTCTTGCACAGAGATGGTAGAAGTTACAGAGGAAAAAAGTTGTCAGTTTTCGCTCTGTAAGGAAGAGTTTTCCTACAGTATTTTGTTGCACGTGAAATATGTTGAAGTTGGCAGTAATGTGACTACAGTTGTTCACAGTACTTTTACAGCAATGCTAAATTGTTCTGCGTGATTGTATAGAACATATTGGTAATCATCCTTCTGTTTCTGACGTCTTGTCTAATAACCACATTCTGGTGCTGCGACCTTCACTGGAGTACAGCACTTACAGTTGTTTTCTGACATAGTTTAGCAAAGTAAGTCCTCAATAAAGGAACTTTACCTGGGAATGGGGGGCAGAGGAAGAAAATTTGAAGTATACTTGATATGCTGCTGTGAGCTTAATTCTGTGCATCAGTTACATGCAGGGTGAGTAGCCAGAGCTTGCAGTGTATGCTGGGCTGTCCTTGTAATGGGCTCCTCCCTGAGAGAAGCTACTCAGGGCTGCTCTCTGAGTGGAGTATCCTGTGGGTTAAAAAGAGTTGTACTGTGAGACTCAGGTTGCCGTGACCCAGCATTCAGGAGTGTTAGTGGAACTCCTGAGGACTTTGCAGGAAATATTTTGCTGTAGGAAAATCTGTAATTTGAAAAATCAACACACAAGAGCAAAATCATAGAAAACATCTTTGGGCAGTACTTGTTTAACTCCAGCCGTGCCTTCAGTAACTTACATCGTCTTAGAGGAAGCCATGAAAATGAAATGTCAAAGTTAAAGTTGTATTGTGCCCTTACCTCAGAATTTTCTGAATGAAAGTGAATATCTGATTGTGTAAAGTAGTGGATGTGTCTGCTTTGTGCCTTTCCACTTCCAAGGTGAAGGGTGTGGGGGTTCTGTGTGTTGTGGTTTTGCTTGGGATTTGGTTTTTTTGTTTTGTTTAGGGGGCTTTTACTATTTGCTGAATAATAGTTTATTCAGATAAAAACTAGAACTGTTCTGATAAAGCATCCAGCAGTAAAGATGTTGAATTCTAAATGCTGTGTAAGAAGCATGTGAACTTTGTTCCCCTGCACAGATGATGGACGAGGTGAGATTCTGGCAGCACAGTCACCATAGTCAAAGTGACTGAAATGAAAGCAGAAGCAAACCCTTCATTTTGAAGGTCAGGAGTCACTTGAAATTGTGCTTTGATGAATAGGCTTTATACTGGCATAATACAGAGGCGTTGACTGAAGCGAGCAAACGTTCATAACACAGTTGCTTGTAGCTCCTAAGTTGTAATAATAACAACAATGATAATAATAATAATCATACCTCAGTAGTTACCTATGCAATGGAGCTATTATTTCATGTCAGATGTTCCCAAGATGTTATTTCTGAATGTTTTGCTTTCGTACTCTAAAATGAAGTAATAGATTTACAGAATAGGGAAAATCCTCCTGACTGAGTCTGTATTCAAGTACTTGTTCATTAATGCCTTCTTTTACTGTTTCTCTGCTGCTCTCACTGAGAGCTGTGTGAAGAAAGTGCCTGTAGACCAGGAGGTAGATGGGGATTCACAGACAGGCACCTTGTGAGGTTGCCTCAGCAGTGTTAAAAAAGAAATAACCTTGCTAAAATAAATACTATATTCAGTGCAAATTGGTGAAATCTGTTTTGGGCCATTATACATTAATTCACTTCTGATCTCCATGATGGCAGTGAAGATGAACATAGAATTTCATGTAAACTTTAAACTTCCTTTTTGTTTGAACGCTGTTGTAGTTGTATCCTCCACATTGTGTGTGACCCTCTCTCACCTCTGTTGCAGTTGTAGTAATTGCAGCATCAAGAGTCTCTCTGGTCACCTCTCTTTATGGCCTCCCTTATTTTCCAGTTGTGAGTGCATGGTGCATGCTAATAAATTGGCATGTGCATGTAGGTAGGAGGAAGTGCAGCTTTCCTAAGACCTATCTTTGCAGTCACTTCTGTACATCTTTATTGGTTTGTATGTGAGTGATGCCATTAAAGGGAATACAACTTATGTATACACATCTAAAACCTAAAGGTGACGTTTGTAAGATCAGGGCCTTTGAGAAGAAATAGCATGTTTTGAATGCTTATAAATAATTCAATTTTGAATGAGAATTTTATATCTCAGCATCTGGAGTTTCCCAGTGTGACTTTATGCTAGAGTATTTTGGAAAGAGGGACTTTAAAATAGAAAAGGCAATTCTTTAATAATTAATGTAATTATGAACTTCAGTGTATAGTCTCTAATCACCTCTTTTATTTCTGTTGTCAGTCTGATTTATAATCAAAAAACACACCTAAAGTATAATATTTTCTACACGTCTAAGTGCTAGTGTGTTAAACTGTTCTAAAGCTGTATTAGTACTTGTTTCATCATATGCTGTTGTGAAATACTCCTGAGATTAGGTGGTGTTCAGACACCAGAGGTCAAGCACTATGTTAAAAGCTCAGGCCATTCTTTTTTATATTACTGCAATAAAGAATATATTCATTTCATTTATATTACCACTTGGCTCTCATAAAAGGTCAGTTTCAGCTGAATGTACAA